AATACTCTTGTTAGTACAAAGTTTATTTGACGAAATCTTTCGTTAAGCGGATTACATATCTGTTTTATGTTGAAACTCTCTCTGGTTTCCAGTTTGCTATTACAATACAATACCATACACAATACTTTATTGAAAACAGCACAACACAGAAATGAGGGAAATTACAATTGTAAAAAAAAAGAGGTTCAATGGGCGGTCTTATCGCTAAAAGCGATTTCTTCCAGACTTGGATGGAGAGGATTGAAAGAAAGCTAGAGTCGGCAGTGTCAGTAAAAGAAACAAGGTATATAAACGAATTTATGAATTAAATATATATATATATATATACATGTTATATATACATGTTACATATATGTTATGGGCTAAGTGATTAACCGGTCATTATTCATAATGCCCGGGCATTATGAATAATGCCCAGTGCCTATTGGGCAGAGCGATGTAAAGCACGTTTAATACTTTCAAATGAATACTTGTAAGATAGACCGAGCATCACACGTAATGAAATCAATTATCGGGTAGAGTAATAATAAAAACATGTTTTATAGTTTAGTATTTATTTTCAATATTTAAATAATCAGACTTCGGTTTTACTTCGATCAATTTACATTTAGAAACTATAGTCTACAGTTTCAATGCAGTTTGTTTGAAAAATTCATCAAATCTGTTAAATGTTCAGAATTTATGGTTCCCTATTTGGAGGATGCAAGAACTAGGGAAGTAAGAACCAGTACTTCTGCCTTATCTCCGGCGCTGCGGGAATAGCAGCCCCTCCGCCTTTGCGTGACAAAGTCACAAGCATCACTCCCCTTCACACCTTCGGCTTGTTGCCGCCGGAGGTGGCGACCAGCCTCAGGCACTACGAGTCGCACGATGCTTGCGGCTTTGTCACAGCAGGCGGGGGCTGCTCTTCCTCTACGCCTCCGGGCTCTAAAAAACACTCTAGAGGTAGAGCAGACCAAGACCACGGCGTGTCGGGGTTGACCAAGTCGGTTCTGAATTAAAGACTGTTGTAAAGCCACATTTACCTTTTTTTCTAAGTGTTGAGCCCATACTATTTTTTATTTACCAAGATCTCAAAACAAACACGAAATGGCTAGACATCTGTCATTTTGACAATAGTACCAACGTTTTGAATTTATTCATACTGCCCGGTCCAAGCGATAAATTCAAGCTATCTCAAACACTCACTTATTACATGGACCACGAGCCGTCCGGCATTATTAATAATGGCCGGACAATGTGATAAATAGAGAGAGACAGATTTCAGAACAGATACATTCTTCATAATATTCGTCATTTAATTTATCGTGTTTGGGCAAAGGACATTGTTCTGCGTCCATACATAGTTAGCCTAAGAACCAACAATCATGAAATACTATTTTCTAAGTTTGAAATAGCAAGTAAATGACTGTAAAAACAAAGATTATTGACGGACAATTCTGAGAACTTAAATTATTAGGAAAACTATTTTTTTTTTTGAGGTTATGTTTAATATTCAATGAAACATAGGTCAAGCCATGAACTTAGTATGAAGTGAATAATATTACAAACTAATTCATTTTATTCGGTGCTATTTTAAAGAATAACTATTAGGAAAAACTTGGTTAGGTAGGAATCATGAATAAAATAAAAACTGTAGTTTTGCTTCTTGTTATATATTGACTATTTTTCACATAATTGTATCTTATTGTATATATATTGTATGTATTTGTTTAACACGTGTATTGTGTAAATATGCAGCGTGAATGTGTATCAGGTGCTCTTGAATAATTTGACATTATGATCCTCTCAGGATGTTGTGGCACAGGTTCACTAGTACTTGGTAATAAGGTCTCTACTCTTTGGTAACATCGATGGCATATTAGATAGCCGAAATAGTAATAGTTAAATTAAAGGAAAAACAATCGCAAATAAACACACACAACAGGTAATCCGAAACGACAATTTTCCGTAATTTAAAAAGTACTCTGACGAGAATGCACGAATGCCACAGATTACTACGAATGCAAACTGCCTGCACCACAACCACAGAGTATCGAGTTTATGCCGACCCTTCACTTGACAACAGTTTGTCCTTGTCATGTTTAATAAGGAATGAAAAGGACAGACTGATCTCATGTTTTTAAATAGCAAATACGAATAGCCAAGTGAAGTGCCGGCATTAGGAAGAAAGAGTGTTTTGTTTGCAGCGCTGTCATAGATTATACACATAAAATGGTATTTATTGTCTCAGATTATTTATTAACTTTTTAATTTAGCTTACTTAACTGGAAGTGTCCGTCACAATATAAATACTGATAATTATTGCAAAAAAATATACTAAGAATTATCATAAATGCCAAATTGGTGTTGGTTCTTAGGCCAATTTTAACATTGTCCTTTGAGCAATCTCCTTTGAAGATCATCTGCATGCAGGTTGTAGGAAGAAGAAATCTTTTTGGCAATAGAATTAATAAATATAGCGAAAAGAAGAGGAGATAGAACGCCGCCTTGGGGAATACCAGCGGAAGTGAGGAAAAAATGTCATCGAGGCCAACCCTCTGCCTGCGTGTTTTACAAATTTGTGTTAAAATCCGGAACTTATGAAAAATCAAATTGACGAGAAAAATATATAGAGTGAATGATACAAAATGAAACTAAGATTACTCTAAAATGAGTTTTTGTAGAATTATGAACTATATGAACTCAGCTATTTATATAAAAGGGTTAAAATAATAGTGATTCGAGAAAAGTTTTGAAAATGACAAAGAAGAAAATTTCCTCAGATATAATTGTATAATATAATAGTGTAAGATGGAAACGTGCTTACGCTCAACGAAGCCTATCATGAAGTGCTATATAATATCAAAGAAAAGATCCATGAAACAAGTGACGCTGCAATTTACGACGAATATTTAATGCTATCTTTTTAAATATTACCTCATCGAGTTTAACAAGCTACATAATGGTTTCGATATATGTAGTTAATTTATGTTCTATCACATCATTGCCCAGGATTTTTACGATTTACGCATTTTGAAAAACTTCAGCTTTTTCCTACATAAGGTAGAAAGATTTTAATGACTTAGCCAACGTCGTTGTATTTGTATTTGTGCAGTATCTTGTAAGCATTAAACTGATCAGATTTATAGAATTAGCACTTGATCTATGTCTAAGGATATTTATTCTAGAAACACAGCCAATCACTTCACTTATTAGACGGGATTCAAAACTACGTCTTTCGCTTCCCGGACAGAAGCACTGTTTTAGTCTTCATGTCCCTATTTTAAATCCTACTCAAACAAAAAGTGGCATTACTGAGTTACTACAAACCATCTATAAAAGTAAAGCAGTTTCAAATATAATAACGCCATAAAAACTATTAAGATTAATATGAATATTTCAGAGTATGTCAAGGGATTTATTCCATTTTATTAAAGCAATTAACTTTTACAAATAAAAGACTGTTGCAACGGGTTTAAGATGTATTTTAATACTTTTTATTTAATGAGTAGTATGCGTGAAAACAAAAGCCCCATACTTTTTTTACTAGAAAATTTTTTCTTTAGTTTTAAGCATCTAGCAATTACATGCTTAAATTATTAAAAATATACCTATAAGCCCCCTTATTAATAAACTTATAATAAGCTTTGACTACTAATCCATGGTTCTGCTCTGTTCGTTGAATGACAAAAGAATGACAAATGGCATTCGAGTGACATGAACAAAATACGGCGTAACTAGTCTAAGCTTATTCATAACCTAAACAAAGATTATTAAATTAGGTTTATTATTTATTTAGGGCGCGGTAGCATAATGGGTCAGTCAGTCCGCCGGAATAGCGGAGGGTTCGAGTCCCGTCTGCTGCCTGGTCTGCGTGTATTTTTTAAGAATCATATCTCAATAATCAAATCTTAGTTTTATACATAAAGACAGTTTTAGCAAATCTAAAAAAAATACCATACACAATTTTTATCATAATGCACAAATTTTATTACAGATAACATAATTCGGCCGTAAAGATAAAACACATGTTGTAATTCATGTGATTATTTCATAATAAATCAAGTACGTCTGATTCTTCTTTTGATAAGGTTTTACAGTAGGATTTATGTAAGTAAAAAGTAAACAATTTGTTTTAATTGTTAAATCAACGAATACAACATGAAGATAAGAAATAGCCAAAATGGTACGCGTTTACTAATGAGTTTGTCAATTTAATAAAAATCACCGGTAATAAGGCAAATTGTGTTTAAATGTACTATACCTATTAGGTATGTACTCTTTTAGGATTCCGTACCCAAAGGGTAAAAATGAGACCCTAATGCTGTCACTCTGTCTTCTGTCTGTCTGTCTGTGTGTCATGGGTCTCTAGATCGTAAACGGAATGAGTTACAGAACTGAAATTTTGGTATATATGTAGAATACTTTCCCAAAGCGAAATATTAAGTTATAAATTCTTTTTCATTAAATTATTTTTCATGGGAGGTCCCATACATGAAAAAGGCAACGATTTTTTATAGGTTAATTATTATCGTAGTGTAGATATTGCTAAATAAGTATTTAAAACTATCGTATCTGACGAAACTAAACAGCTAATTTTGCCTGCATTTTAAATTATTTTAAGTAGGTAATATACATAAGGTCATGTTATTATCCTTTAGCGTAGTTGAATAATTTTTAGTATAAATAAAGCCCTAAGCATAAAATACAAAATATGTATACATGTAAACTTAACTTCCGCTGAGATTTTAAGCTTTTTCTCTCCCAATTTTTTAATTTAGCTTTTAACCCGATGTCGTATAGATAGAGCCTTCTAAATAATTGCCAACAAGTCTCACATGATCATCGCAGATCTTCATTTATTCAGATAACGTCCTACAATAATTTTCGGCATAAGTAAAGACTCTAGGGAGAGACTTTCCGCGAAGAAAACCCAGTTTACGATACACACACGCATATTCACACCGCCCACAACTTTTGCGGCCAACAATAACACATATATTGAATTAAATACTCACTTATAAGGATCTTGCAGTTCCTCTGTGACAAAGTTCAGGTAGTTCCACCCACCAAAGGCAAACAGACCAGAGTAGAAGGCCAACGCCACCTTGCCAGCACTGTATTCTCCATCAAACGGTTTCTCGAAGTTCTCTGTGTGACCTGATACAATGAATGGTGATAAATTACAGCGGTGACGCTTATTAACAACTGGTCGGCATCATCAGCATGAAGATAAGAAGTAACAGGTTTTTAGTCACAGTTTAGTTATGGCTACCACATAATATAGAACACACCGGATTTTCCGTTCAATTGGATTTGGTAAATAACCTCCACATAATATAACCAAAGAAAACTTTTACTAGAAAAAATCAACACGGTCGGTCAAAGAAAACTTTTATAAGAAAACATCAACTTGGTCAAGGTACAGGCAGGATACCACAAACAGGCAGGAGAATTTTATCAGTGAATGGTTGAATTTGCCCCTGTTCCCAGTAGTCTTACCGAGTAATTTCCCCGGTAGAACTACTGGAAATTTCCTTCCCAATACTGATAGTAATACTTCGCTGGTGTTATTTTTCCCCCATTAGTTTTAACTTATCAAAATAAAATTTATAAAACATAGACCTCGTTATTAACAGACAGTAGCTTTATTTAGTCCAAGGAAAAAAAAAAATAATTACATTTTTCCCAAGTGACAAACAAACAATAGCGAACAAGTTTTTGACGTGATTTCATCGAGTGCAGCGTAATGGTGTCTTATTTGAATTATTCTTTAATTCGTCGAATTCGGTCATTCGGTATTTAGAATTTTATTAATTGCAATACTGTAACGTGTATTTGCGTATTTTTAACCAGGGGTAAGGCGTAGAAAACGTGTATAATATTTGTAGTCCCCTGAGAACTACCCAAATCGCTATGTATAGTAATACAGCTGAAGAAAGGGCACTGGACTTATTCCAAATGTGCCATCACTGAAATAGTCCTTACTCTCCGTCATAACTTCTTTTACCACACTGGATGCAAACACTTAAATTCGTGCACCGTCATCATGATAGTAATCCGATAACAGAAAAGCATCAAAGGACAATGGCGAACTCCCATACAATTTTTTGTTGAATTTTTTTCTTGTGTCTATAAATGAATTGCATGTTAAATTATAGAGTTTACAATCTTGATTTGATTCATCTTATTTCTTATTTTATAGGAAGTCCGGATTTATAGATATTCTACTTTGAAGTTTTGGAGGTTATGTCCAACCAAGTAATGCAAAAACGAATCATAAAAGTTTGTTTCAAGAGTATTTTTATATCAAAATAAAAAATACGTGGAACGGAACTATAGAATTACACCGGTTCTGAAGATTAGTGACGAAAAAAAAATGTTTTTTACAATGTATGATCAGTTGGCTTTCTTTCTTTCTTTCTTTGGCGTAGGTACTGACCAACCGCGTCAAAATACTTATTATCAGACAAGAGTTATTGAGTTCAAATACAATGTCTGTGCTGTAAGAAGTACTTAACAATTTGAAAAGTATAAAAAAGGATTTCTAATAATGTACTAATGGGATATTAATTAAATATGCAACACTTTTTATATTTTTTTTATTCCACATCGTTGATCACAATATCGTAGATAGTACATACAATGAAATAAAATCCACACTATGGGACAGAATCGTGTCCAAAATCCACAGCAAAATATCAGATTCGGAAGTCTTAGGCAAGCACTACTCGACAATCGCAGAGAAAGATTTCGAAAGTCCAAATACAGTCCAAGTCACATAAAAAAACAAATATCAGAAAAACACAATACGCCGATTGAAATCTTTGCAATAATATGCATGCATCTAAGCACAAACAATGTTATATAATGATAACAATAACAACAACAATTCGATGACAAGCATGACAGTGATAGTTATAGTTTTTTTTCGTTAGAATTGTCACCATACTCTTTTTGTATTGTGGAGATTATTTAATATGTTTTCAGTATAATATTGAAAAATAATGTTTCCCGATATTTTTGATAGATAATTAAATACAGTTCAAGCGTAAAGCGTTGCAAAACATACGAACAACATATTTAAAGTTGATTTCATCACTAAAATCACTTAAAATGAATGCCTCAAAAGCCATCATGGCCAAGCCCCTTTTTTTAAGTTTTTAATTCCAGACTTAGACAACCCTCCTCAATTGTTTAATAAATCTTTTGAGATTATTTTATTAACATTTCTGATAATGACATCTATAGACGCTATAGATTTACTTCAACAAATATTTCGCCATTGTCCTTTAGGCGGAATCTTATTATCAGAAAAACTATTACAATATAATTATTCTACCTCTAGTATTTTGTTTCTATGTCGGTAAAGTGTCGACTTCACTTGGACAATTATGGCAACTTTCTTAGAATCCCAGAATTTTAAAGTGAACCCACCGGCCTTTCTGTACAGTCTTGGTATTGACACAGTGTATGATTTACTGACTTGTTTTTTACAATCGTTCATTTTATCTCTATTTCCTTTTTGGCATGATCAGGAGAGCATGTAAGTAAATGTGATGTATTTTTCACCGCAACATTATTATTACTAACCAAACCTACACATTTGCTTTTGCGATATAGAGCGCATCGGCATATAATGCCTGAATTGCCTGATTTTTAGATTTTAATATAAGGTACTGGAAACCGTTCAATAATAGTACCTCACTGATGTGACAAGATGTTAGTCAAGCAAATGTTTTATCTTGGGTCATAGATTCAGGTTCACTATGTAGGTTGTCTATCAATTACCTAGGTCTACATAAGAGTAGGACTATTGGGAGTTTTGTTTTACTGGTAAGTCTTCTGTGTATAAAGTTCCCAGTGGTTCCCAGTCGACTAGTACCCAGTGAACTAGTAAGACTACTAGTAAGTCTCTAAGGAAGTAAATTCCCAGTAGTCCTTTTGATAAGACTACTCGGTAAGACTAACCAGCAAGGAGAATTTTGTCTAATAAATATTTTTTTGGGTTTATTTATCGAGCCGTCTAATGCTTAAAAATTAAATAAAATAGTAAATTTTAGTACTTATAGCTTACAGTAAAGTTTCCAGAGCACCACAGGGCTAAATCGCGAATTTGTGTGTCCCTCAATCGACTTTCATCTCAGATGAGAATATTATGATTGATGATAGATATCATTTAGGATCAGAAACCTTATTAGCACGTATCAAACGAACCCATACTACTGCATCATTTTATTACGCAGTTTACATAGCTGACTTCCGACTCCATTTTGCATTGTTCGTGTTTTTAGACTTTCTTTAGTATTATTCTTAATTCTAACTCAATACCCAAATAAATATTATAAGTGATGCATTTGAAATATCATCAAAAATATAGTAATTGATCCTCAAAAAATACAATTGGGAACATACCCTAGTCCTGGTTTTAATCGTTTTTCTTAGATGATTATATTTTTGAGGATAATTTATATATTTTAATATAAAGTAATTTAAAAAAGAAAAGATGGATACTATCCTCAAAAATACATCTATTTATTTATTTATAGAAAACCGTACAGTGTTACAACATATTAAATCTACACATAATATGAACTATGGTAAGACCAATGACAGGGTTTCTCTATAAACAATAATACGTATGATTTAAAACAAAACAACAACTGCACCAACTGCACAAAAACATCAGCCTCATAGAGTTACACCTTTCCTAGAACATCTTAGTCCACATGATGCTGCATGATGCCAAATACACAATTATATAAAATTATTAAATACTTGATATTGTGGTGTAAATTCATGATACATTTACGTAAAATAAGTTTACACCACAATATGCTAATTACACTTTCGGACACATGTATGTTATACTTTGATCAACAATTCTAATAGAAATACAGTCATCCTTTGCATTTATTATGGCTTGTTATATATGAGAACCTTTTAAATATAGTAAATAATATACTATAATAATTATGTAAGGTATATTGATTGTAGTATCAAAGAGTAATTAATCGAATTCTTTATATAGGACTTCAGCGATTACATATAATTTATCGGTGGTCTAATTATAAATTACCGCGACCAGTGAACATTGTGAAGGCATCTCTTTATATTTATGATAAACTATTAAAATCTCTATTTACTCCTATAACTTAATTGATTCCGGGTGAATTATGTGCATAAATCATTTTGTAATATATTTAACAAAATTAGTAAGGTATCAAAAGGAGTCTCCATACAAAACACGTATTTTTTGTCGTTTTTAGCTACTACAGAAATATTCAAATATTCGGGCCACTACAGAAATTTCTGTGTGGGCAACGAAATATTCACCTAGGCCCAGAAGATTTAACGATTTCCTTGAATACTTTTTATTAGGGATATTATTATTCATTTCATTTTATTTTAATGTTTGTTGCACATGGATAAAAGCTGTACAAAAGGCGACAGTATATTCAACGATTTTCTTTGAGACATATAAAGAAGGTAGACATTGTAGAAATACAGATATTATAAGAGGTTAAGTTAATTTGGATTGTAAATTTAGACATTAAGTAGTTTTTAACTGGTTTTTATTTATATGTTTGTATTTTCCATTGAATTGTAAATATTCATCGATTTGAACTTGTGGGAACCATAAAAATAATACATTTTGAGGAAAGCACATTTTAGGAAACAGAAATTGTACTCCTGGGCGAGTAAAACTTGAAAAAATTATAATAACAATATTATTATTCGCCCGGATTGCGAAGGGTGCGGGTTCGAGTCCCGTCCGCTGCCTGGTCCGCGTAGATTTTTTTCTAGTAAACTTTTCTTTAGATTTAAACATCTAGCAGTTAAATGCTTAAAAAATAAATAAAAAATAACTATAATTGCTATTTCTTCTTTCAAATGTTTAATACTTGAAAAAGTATTCATTTGACATTGTGGGTTACCTACAATGCGAAGAGATGGCGCTGCCTTGCAGCTTAAGGCTAGGAAAATTTCGACGCGGCGAATAGGGCCGTGGTAGCATAATGGTCAGTGCATTCGCCCGGATTGCGAAGGGTGCGGGTTCGAGTCCCGTCCGCTGCCTGGTCCGCGTGGATTTTTTTTTTCTAGTAAACTTTTCTTTACATTTAATCATCTAGCAGTTAAATGCTTAAAAAATAACTATAATTGCTATTTCTTCTTTCAAATGTTTAATACTTGAAAAAGTATTCATTTGACATTGTGGGTTACCTACAATGCGAAGAGATGGCGCTGCCTTGCAGCTTAAGGCTAGGAAAATTTCGACGCGGCGAATAGGGCCGTGGTAGCATAATGGTCAGTGCATTCGCCCGGATTGCGAAGGGTGCGGGTTCGAGTCCCGTCCGCTGCCTGGTCCGCGTGGATTTTTTTCTAGTAAACTTTTCTTTAGATTTAAACATCTAGCAGTTAAATGCTTAAAAAATAAATAAAAAATAACAATATTATACCTAATTAAATAATGTTGCTATCATGGGGGATAAAGATTTTAGTTAGAACTCAGCATGAATCTCCTTTGGGATATTCCGCTCCGATCTTTTATACGTATTCCTAGGTCAGTAAACAGTTTTTTTTTTGCTGTAATCTATATTACTTGAATTTTGAGTTAACTTGCTGTCCTAGTAATGATCCTCATTAAACCGCAATCGAAAACGATTATGCAAGACGCTTTCAGTAACATAATATTGAATATTTTTTCTTCCCAAGATAATTTTGTGCACAACGCTACGACTACGACACAGATTTGCGTTGGTGCTCGATTAGGTATGTTGACGTAATGAGACGTCACATAATCTTACTCATCACAGAATATACTTCTGATTTACTATGAATCTATCTATTCATAGGTAATATTAATATATGAACGAATACAAAGCTACAACTCAAAAAAGATCATTTTTTGAGTATCGTTTAAGAAGAATAATCTTATTACATTGATAATGAGTAATATTCACGAAGGTACAACTAATATAATGAAAGTAAGTATATTTTAATACGAGCGAGTGTTTGGAAATTAAATTGTACCCTTGCTCTTGATGTCTTCAGCCCAGCGGTGAGTGAGATCAACAGCCAAACGACCGTGACGTAAAATTGTATTATCAGTTGCAAATCATTTATTATTTAATTAATTGCACATGCACAGTGTGTGCACAGTACAAGATCTTAAATAATTATTATAGCATGGTACATGACCCTGTCATGGTGTTGTTGTTGTTAAATAAATAAATTAGCTGATGCTCCTCAAGGTACCCCGAAAGGATGTGAAAAAGAAAATCAATAATATTTTGAAAAAACTAAATAATTTCTCAAGGCTGATTGATTAGTTATATGGTAAAAATTTTTGTTCATATACCTATATTATTACAATTTTGATTCCCTATCATACAAAATGTAAGTTATAAATATAATAAGTAATGTAAGTTATTACATAAAAAGAAATGTAAGTTAACTTTCGGAACCGTTTATTTTCGGATCCAAAGTGATACCTATTCGATAAATATGCTCATAATTAAGCAAAATTATGTGTTTGTTTGCATTACTTGTAAAAAAAGTATTGAAATAAAATGCGCCAAACTGAATACGCTGAGTCTCAACCACGGGTCTCAACATTCGGCCAAAGGCGTATACAGGTAAGTTTATGGATATAACAATGTAAGTTTGTCAAAATAACTCTTACCTATACATAAGTAGTAGATGCCAGAAATGATGATGACCACTAGAGCCAGCAGCTTCGAAGACGTGAACACGTCCTGAATGCGCATAGTCCAGCGAACACTGATGCAGTTTACGGCTGTAAGTACACCTGTCGTGGAAAAAAATGATTATTAGGTAAATTTACTTATTGTTATAATGAATAGGTACTTATCTATATTTTTAAAAATGTCCTTGACCTCACGTCGTTTCTGTTTAAACTAAAGTTCGTATTCAGCAGTAAGTACTGTTCTGTAAGAACAAAATCACTTTTTACTTCGGAATCCCCAGTGTGATAACAATAGAAGTCGAATTTCAAATCACTAATTTAATAAAGTTAGTGCTGTCACTTTGTGTGCTTTCCTAGTATCTAACTATAAACTCGTAAAATTATAAGATCTATCTACTTAGCTGTGATAATTTTAATAATAATAATAATGACTTTATTTGCTTGTAAACATGGTATACAAGGTGTTACAGTAAACAGGTCCGTTAAAAAGTATGATATTTAAAGTTCTACATTATTTTGGGTTTTTATTATAGATTTTGGTAAGGACACATAATCAGACAGCTTTAGTTTAATGAACACCTCCACTTTACGCAAAAGGGAGTGACCCTGATACTTTCTTGTCAAGAATTTGTTACAACGATTTTTCATTACTAAGAATTTCTGAGCTGAACTGCGGGCGGAGAAATGGATGAAGGGACCCTAAAAATATGACATTAGTATAAAATTATAGATGCCTGATAAAAAATCAACAACTCTTTGGAAGTATGTCACCAAAGACCAATTACAGGTAAAGTGGCATCGTTAATAGCTAATCAGATGCTTAGTAACTGAATTTATAATGGGTTATCATCAATTCATCAAGAAAAAAATAATAACTGCTTTAAAAAATTGCGTTTTCCCTTTTTTAATTTTCCTTTGATGTAGGTAGTATTGATGTAGAAAAAAAATACAAAGACATGCAATTCGATTAAACCTAATAAACTTATCATCATCTTATTTCAAGTTTTCAATGCATGAATAATAATATACTTGAGTAATAATGATAACAATGTAATTCTCTTATGATACGGACTAATCCATACACAGTTAGAGATGTCTAGTCACAAAATGACATAAACATTATGATCTTTCTTTATAGATCAATAGATTATGATTCGGATAAAGATTAAAACATAAATCACGTAATACATAGCTATGGCGCTTACACCCGAGAGAAACAACGCAATCAGAACCAAGTTTTGATCAAGTTTTGAGCATTTTCTCACTCATAACTGTGGAAGGCCGTTCTAACCTCTTTCTGTGGAGAAAAGGCAAAACTACAATTTGGACCTGAAAAAACACAGGCAAACGCCTTCACTGCTAAAGCCAGCCATATCCCTAGCCAGCCAAATCAAGCTTTTGGGAGTAATCATAGACGACCGAGACCGAGAAATTTCATTCAACACGCCAACTATGTAATAAAGAAGGCCACTAAAATCTTTAAGAATTTGTGCAAATTTGTCAGACCTACATAGGGCATACAATCTGAAAATGTTGAGTGTATAAACTGACAGTTCATAGTTCCTATGATTACCTATGCTGCAGGAATCTGGGGTACGGCCACCAAGTTCCATTCTGTGCGCCGGGCTCTCAGATCTTTTCAGAGAGGATTCGCCATCAGGGCGATTAAAGGATTTCACACGATATTAGCGGTAGTGGCGGAGGCTCTGGCTCAGTTCCCACCTCTCCATCTCGTAGTTGATGAAGTCCATGCAATCCACACGACAAAGAAAACGGGATTATCCCCGGATTTACCGGACGACATCATGATGCACAGAAGAGTCAAGGTCAGACCTGCACCCAGCGCAAAGAATCACCATAAACATCGAGGAAGCCGCCATTCAAGAAGAAATTGACCATCTGTTTAACCCAGATGCACCCAATATTTTTACAGACGGGAGTAAACAAGAAACCGGAGAGACTGGTGCCTCTTATATTATAATGCTGCCTAATCACACCCACATCGTTCGAAAACTAAAGCTCTGCAGAACAGCCAGTGTATTTTTCACTGAACTGTTTGCAATCGATAGCGCATTAAAGTTGGCACTTGAGGGAAACCATGCCGAGGTATCGTTGTTCACGGACTCACTGTCCGCTCTAAAAGCTATCCAAAATCGAAGCAACACCGATCCTCTGGTAAATAGTATACACCATAGCCTTTACAGACTGCAAGAAAAAGAGACAAATACAAGATTTATTTGGACTAAAGCCCATGTGGGGATAGTGGGAAATGAATTAGCAGACGCTGCTGCCAAGGAGGCGGCTGCCAAGAAAAAACGGCACTAATGAATGTATTCCCGCTATCCCACACTAAGCGCTACCTGAAGGAAAGGACCCTGAGCGCGTGGCAGGAAGATGGCTGTTCTATGCGACGGCTCCGCAAGGAGCAGTCACAAAGTCGTTCTTCCAAACCATCGCAGAAATAATGGATTCCGAACAGCTGTGAAACCTTCTTTTTCTGTCACACAAATTCTCTCGGGCCACGGTTACCACAAGGCCTATCTGCACAAATATAAAATAACACCCGATGATTGCTGCCCATGTGATAACCGCACTAAACAGGACATCACACACATCCTAAAAGATTGCCCTATATTCCACTCCACCAGATCTGAGTATGAAAATTAGTGTGGACTATATAAAATCGAGCCATACAATTTAATGGAAACAATAAAGAATGAAACAGGCACTTGCTTTGTCAAGCATGTCGACACAATAGTGTCACAACTTAAGCGCGTAAATGGTACATAACTGCCACATCGACCAAAAGTATGAACACATAGCGGCGGCTTTGGATCTGTATTCAATTGCAGAAAAAAAATCGACCATAAACAATATAAATGTACAATATATATATATTTGCTCCCTTATCAACATACAGAGTACCATATAAAGACATTACAAAAAAAAACCTCTTTCGGTGTTCTGTGCTAAGAAGACTGTAGTTCACTATGCAGTCACACCGCATTGCAATCCATTCCGACTGCTTCAAGCTGCCCGTGTATGTGTTCATATCATAAAATCTTAAAATTATCTCCTTCTCTCGATTTTGAACGACTGTTTATTAGCTGCGTTAAAGAACGAATACATACATGTGCTCTACTCTACCATAAGGTTAGTGCTCCACCTCTATGAAAATATTAATAAAGGGTATTTCTCAATTGAAGTCTTATATAGATAGATTCGCATCGTTTCATAATTACCAGATGCTAATATCCATAAAACTGATTTCTCTTCTTTGATTAATATCTTATGTAGAAAAGTATATATACAGAACGTAGCACATTATTATCCTACTTCCTACTAATATTATAAATGTAAAAGTAAGTATATTTTTACTCAATCACGCAAAAACTACTGAACTGATTTGGGTGAAATTTAGTCAGCATATAGTTTCGTTGACCTTGATTGAGACATAAGTATACTTTTTATCCCGGAAAATGTTAGGGTCCTGAAGGATTCTCCAAAAAGTAAAGTTAACGCGGACAAAGTCGCGGATGGACGCCAATCTGTCTATAGGTACAGTAGAACGCCGATTATACGAATTAATTTGATCGGGGGTCGATTCGGATAATCGGACATAGACTCGTAATAAAGAAAAACGAACTGTCACGGAACTGTTTATTCTATGTGTGAACATAGAATAAACCTTATTAAGTTTAACAAACATACTATAATATAGGTACATAGTAGCAAAAAAAACCGCGCGACGCAAAACATGTACCCCATTATTAATAAACGAAGAATAAGCTTGGATTAGTTACTCCATGTTTTGTCTTTGTTCATTGAATGACAATGGCATATGAGTGACATAAACAAAACACGGCGTTACTAATCTAAGCTTAATACTTGTTTATAAATAAGGGGGGTAGTGTCTTGCCTCTAGCTTTCAACCATAATAGTTGAAATATATCTGGATTCCAGCGAGTTCCAACTTATTACAATAAAACAAAACAAATTTTTTTTTTTTATTTTTCGGATAATTGGTGATTCGGTTAATCAGCGTTTTAAAATAAGGATAATCTGGGTTCTACTGTATATTGTTTTTATTTCTACACTTCTAGTCAGATATGTTAGCGGTATCAAATAACTCCTTGATTATATTGCGTCTGCTTCTCGACGGACGCTCCCACTTAACCCAATTACTCTTACAGCGGAACCCTCTATATTTGCAGACAATATCTGATCTATTTAAGACGCCCGCGCAAATGAAGCCCGAAGCTGCAAAGGTTTAATAATTGAATAATAATATAATTAGACAGGTTCTCTAATCTGATATCTCTGATATTAAATATTTTGGAACAACCACAATTACATAAACTGATACTTAAACCATAACCCACAGAATGTAGGCAATAATTTAATAACCATATACCTATATACAGGTGGCGCAAAAGTAATCACTCTATCGGAAGATGTTATAATTATTGCAAATGGCGTCGAACATTAATTATCTATTATATTTGTGAACTAGACAGATGCGGAATCCCGATATCTTGAGAATGCCACTTTTTACTATTTATTTATATCTTCTGTACAAAATTACCAAATTACTTAATTACACTTAAGACAATCTTACGATAAATGAATGCGATAACTTAGTTTATTTAATGGTTATCTCAATGAATAGTTGTAATCAATTCTAAGCACAATATCATAAATGTGTTGGTAAAAGATAGTTAAAGATTTAACAGACGATAGAGTGAATGATTGCCATTAAGTTAATTGTTTCCTACCCAATTTCGTTTCGTGAACCAAACTTGTGATAAGTTAGCTTATATATATCAATTAATGACATCGACTTGTCGATTCTCTAAACTTAAAACTAAATTAAACATCAATCTCTCTTTTTCATTCTGTATAGCGGATGACAAGGATACACTGTTTGTTCACAAATTTTAGAGAATCATGCTAGAATCGAATAATGTTGTCTTATTGAGCTTTTTGCTTTATTAACCTTAAATAGCCATTTTGCAACGGTCTCACTTATTTAAACCTGTACAACGGCAATTTGATCTAATATTATACCTATTCTAATTAGTAGCAACCCATTATTGGGCATTCTCCTTAGTTTGACGACCTCCTTCGGCAAGTGGTTTGTACGCCGGGTTTCATGATGTCGCCGACTTGAGAGGTCCCGGGTTCGAATCCCGGTAGAGGCAGATGTTTGTGTGATGCATACGAGCATTTGTACTCCAGTCATGGATGTTTAATATGTATTTCTATATACTTATATACTCGTATGTATTCTATCCGTTATCCTAGTATCCCATAACATAAGCCTTACAGTGCTTACTTTGGGGCTAGGCTAATTGGTGTGAGTGTTGGAAATAGTTATTTTATTAATTTATTTATTAGTTATTACGATAATGTGATATCAATTTTTATCGCTGTTGGTTAACAAAAATAAATAAACATTACGAAATCCTTTTGGGAATCGACGAGATAGATTTCACCATGATTCATATTATATCTAGGCTGTGATCTAAGGTATGATTTCGACCTATAAGAAGATTTTCATTTACCACTATGTTATAGTTCTCTCCTTGTTGATAATATAATGTACCTACTTTTAAATCGTCGGGAAGTTTCAGTTATATCTAATCAGCTATCATTTTCCTTAGTACATTAACTTGCATTAACGTCAAAAAAAATCATTAGTTCTTTCCTCCTTTAAATCAGGACTTCGCAGGTTTCATTCATATTATTATTTTATATTGTAACCAAGTTTGAAATATAAACTATGTTAGTTAATGACTAAATAGGTTATCTAAATCTCATTTATTATCTCAATCGTTAGAGAATTGTTTCTTAGCAAAATAGAAAGTGCTCACGGGACGATAGTATCGGTAATGAACCGTTATTTCATAATAACCAAATGGTAATATCATATACAGATTGGATATTATATTGGATACAATATAATGTTATTATTTATTATTATGCACTTATAAGATTATTTAAAATGGGTAAAAACAAATGCTCATGATATCCCTTATTTACTGTCTTCGCTTGCTTGTGAACACATAATAGCGTAAGGAATTTCATCCAAAATGAATTCGATCCTCAAATTGTTGGCTGTAGCAGTCTCAGGGACCTGTTTATCTACCGTCTTCCTTTCACAATCGCTACATAGGAAGTTGGTGATTGTCTGACTAAACAACATTCTCAACAAAACAAACTTGTTAGTTGATCATTCCCATGAGACCATACCAGCAAAATATTGCCAATTGCAGTTATTGTGATGATTAGATATTATAAATTGAACGCCTGTTTAAAATGTCTCCGAGTCAGAAGTCAATGTGATGGCACATTCGATAAATTAATGTGATTGAAGTCACACAAGGCCTATAAATTCCAATGTTAACAATGTCAATTTGCAAGTTATAACATCTTTATGAGTTCATAGAACAAGTATATTTTTTTTTTTATCAAAAACCTGTTAAAATAACTTGCGAATAGAAGGCTTGCAACACAATTCATGATTTTCATAATAGAGCTCTGTAAGAGGTACTTATAGGTATTTCTAGGCAAATTACCTACCATAAAATTTTCCGAATAGGTACCTATGTATCATTCTCATTACAACACCTAGGGAGGGATAAAATTGAAAGGCTCGAAAATCAAAAGTACTAAGAAGATCGAAAGTGCTAAATCGAAATTATCAAAAACACTATCACAATCATTTTTTTCCGCAAAATGATCTTATATACATTATGATGGCGCGACAAAAATCAAGTAGGTAGGTACATAATTCAAATGTGAGATCAATTGTTAACATTCATTGTCGCCATTTAACCGCTTTGACTTTCATTAGCAAATATTTTAATGATTTTTAAGTGACCCGTGTACTTACATAGGCATACTGCAGCCAACAATCGGACGGCATTCTGTGGAGGGTCGCATTCAGGGAAGAACGGTTTGACCACATAGTGTCCAAATGTTAGGGCTACAATGGCTTGCGTGGTTGGTCTGATGATGAGCAGGGCAATCCACAGTCTAAGAAATGCTGGTAGCGGTCCGAATGCAGAGTAAATGTATGCGTAGTCTCCTCCCGACCGCATGATTGAAGTTCCCAGTTCTGCGTAGCACAACGCTCCTAGCGTTGATAGGAGACCGCATACCAACCATATTATTAAAGATGCTGCTACAGATCTGTAACAAAATTTAAAAGTACTTAATGGAAAATCAAGTGATGATTTTGCTTAATAAAGCGAGGCATTTTCATCGTCTATGAGTGACGTCCGCGTCTTTACACAATTTTGATGGTAAAATTAACCTAACTTTAACTTACATTTATTATTGTTTTCTTTGAACTTATACATTGTGTATTTTGAGTTACTTGAGAAACTTAAAAATCGTGTATATAAAGTTTGTGCCAAAAGTTATAAACAGCAAACAAGTACCTAATACATGCAAACATGTAACATGCAAACATATAACAACTACACTCCCCTATAAAAATGTGGATTTATGTCATTTACATATTATTCTTAGTTCTAAAACTTGGCTGTAGCTCGAGTGTTGCTATGGCACATTCGAACAATGAAATAAATGTGATTGGTCACGCACACATCTTTCTTTAATTTGTTATTTGTTAATAACATATTTATTATAGAATTATTATCCGTTTAAAGTAGATTTATTTGAATCAATATCTGACAGTAAAAATGGTTAAGGTTTCATAATTGCACAATTATAAAACCTTAACCGAAAAAGAAATTAAAGAAAGAGCAGTTTTTTACTGATAAATGGTTGTCTGAATTACCCAATAAAGTTTACAGGTAACTCAAACTTCACGGTGTATTTATTAACATTGCGTGTGTCTAATAATTGTTAAGTTTCACATACAAAGTTTCATTCCATACTACGCCACCTTCAAAATATTTTTTCACGAGAAAAAGTAGTATAAAGATATCTGCAGGGTAGTCTATAGGGATCCCACCTTGAGTCCCATCTATCCCTACAGCCAAATTGATTATAACCATTTAACTCACTTTTCATTCAGTATTTGTTAGCATACAGTTGCTGTTGTGGTTACTGTACTGTCTAAACATAAAGCTGCAGAGTATGTCATTAAAAATACCTCACTATCGAGTTCGCTTTCGAGAGAATGGTATGATTGTAAATAATTAATAGGTATTTAATAAGTGTGGTTTATTTGACTTTCTATTTCCCACGGTGTAATATAATCACACATTCCTAACAACATTATATAAAATGTTGCACCGCTGCAGTCAATCAAGATTTGTTCCACCATAATCAGTTACAATAAGCGTCATAGTTGCTTAATATTCAAAATCCATATGTAAATTATTGTATTATGAAAGAAAACTTTCACTATAATCATTCAAAGCTTTACGTAAATACTTTCCCTTGGAAGAATTCCGACATAAAAGGGCACAGATTTATTATACGAAATAAGTGATAGCTACCTAAATCTGTTTTTATTGTAAAAAAATATTTACAGCGGAACAAACCTAATAAGATAATTCCGTGGAAGAAAAAGAACTCCCTAACCTTAAAAAAGTAGCGTAGCTTCATTCCCTATTAAAATATTATATAATACTAGCTGTCTCAGCGAACTTGATACCGCCATAAAAAAATAGGGGTTGATGGTAGAGGGGTAAAAATTTAGGGTTGTATTTATTGAAAATCGGTCAAGCAGTTTCAGAGTACTTCAATTACGCACACCGTGACACGAGAATGTTATGTGTATATTAGATTAAAATATACGAAGATCAAGTTTACAAATTGTTTGCATTAATAGGGATGATGACGGGAGGTTAATAAAAGGAAATTCTATTTAGTCCGTCCCGTCAGTTAGGTTATTTTGAAGTTATACTTCTTTAGGCGCGTTATGAAATTTTGATGAGAGTGAAATTTTAAGATGCGCGCGCATCACTGTAACACAAAATTTTAACATAATGAAGTTGGTCGCTTTAGCGACCAACTTCATGCGTTACTTTTGTGTTTACCGCAAATTAAGAAAATCTACCAACAAAATAGAAATAGAATCTCTATTTAGTGGGTGCTAACGACTGCATTGTGAAGGCCTATCAAAAGTATTTATTAATCTGAAACAACGGAACCAAAGCGCGATTCAGGAGACTACAGCGCCATCTCTTGACCATTGGTGTAGTAGAACCAAAAACCACATCTTTATTTTTTGTAATAAAGTAACAAAAAGTATTTATTAATCTGGAACAACGGAACCAAAGCGCGATTCAGGAGACTACAGCGCCATCTCTTGACCATTGGTGTAGTAGAACCAAAAACCACATCTTTATTTTTTGTAATAAAGTAACAGTTATAGGTATTCATATTTATAATATTTATCCACATGTTTCTAGTTTGTATATTCGGAATACGTGTTTGAGTTTCATACAAGTGCAAATCACATATGTTCTAATAAATTATATTCAGTAGCGATTTTAATTGAATATTTTGATTATTTATTTATTTTTTCAAATTTATTTTTTTAAAATAATGGACACATATTTTTTCTGTTGCCAATGAACCAAAAAGTTACAAGATAAAACGCGTCAAAGTTTGGTAGAGAGCGCTCGTGATGACACTTCTGTAAAAATTACACTAAGACGTGACGTTATACGACATTTAAAATCAAGTATCTGTAACGTTTTCATTATGTTTATAAAGAAAAAAATACGTTTCCAATACTTTTTGTTAATCTATCTGATAGATAGGCGAAGAAAAAAAATACTCAAGATCTATTGGAGCTGAAAACATACAGCAATGAGGTGGGCTTATGAATCGTGTATATTATGTACCTACTGTGTATCTTATATAGGTATATGATAATGTAACAATATAGTAGATACCTCTACATACCTCCATATCGTTTAAATGTATTTCTTCTCCACACAATAAAAATTATATACAAAAAAAAGAACTACCAAAGGAACTAACTACGAATTTGAAAAAAGTTTTAATTTATTACCTTTAGCTCATGTGCATTGTATAATTTTATGCCGACTAGGCGTAATAATAATGTGCGTAATAGTGACCTTCTGATTTGCTTTCATAGCCTTGGCCCTGTTGCTAACTCAAACGCGAGCGTTCAGTGACCGGGTATACATGCGAAAGGCAACATTGAAACTGCACACTTGACACCGGTTCGGAAACAAGACTTGGTGTACGCAAGTAGTACACGCTAAACTGATGACCGGTTATTTAATAACTCACTCTCACAGTGGTAACAAAATATTGATTTATAATTGACGCTTCAGACCCTTTTTAATCGACTTTAAAAAGAGGTTTTCAAATCGTCAATCCCTTTTTGTATTCGCGTAGTTAACTCTGCGAATTCCCCAGACGGGCGTTTAAATTCGAGCGACAAAGCCGCTATGCCTTACCTCTCTTTGTATGGATCTACTGGGAGTATTTACTAAAGGTTTAGAAATGCTCCCACTAGTTCCATACATGGAACTAGGGAGTAGCAGTAGTTTCATGTGGAACTATCTACATGAACTTACTGGCAATAGTAGTAGTAGACCGATTCGATAAATCTTATTTGTTTGAATCGTTATCTTTGTACCTACAAATTAAATGAAATTTAAAGGTCTTTGGATTTTAATAAACAATTAGTATTGTATAGAAACATTTGCTGTTTGTCTGCCTGTCACGTAAATAAGTTGACATCTGAAAATGGGTTGTTGCGTATGCATCCTACGACATCTCATCCCAATGCCTTACTATGGGACAAATGTTAGTATGATGAATACTAGCATTTGTAGGTACCTTAGCTAAGGATATTTTTATATAATATTACTAAATAAATATAACAGTAACTATATCTATGTATGTTATCCGTTACCCTAATATCCCATCATAACACCAGCTTTACAGTGCTAATTGGTGTGTATGTAATTAAATGGTACTGCTAAGGCTACGTTTTTTCATGGATAGTAAAATTTTACTATAGTTAAATCCTTTAAAAAAATAACCATTTGTCAAAATGTTACATATTTACTACGTGTATGAGTGGCATTCACTATAGCGGCCTAAGAAATTTAGTTTTAGGTTAAGTTGGATAATCAAGGGAGAGAGATCGAACGGTCTACCTACGCGTCGCACGCTGACTAGTAGTAGCGATAAGGTTAGGTATGTTAAATTTTTGGGTAACATGGCCTATCTAACGGTTTATCTCACTCGTTTAAAAGTTTCTCAACCAGAACAAGATACAATCGCGGGCATGAGAGTAAACTAGCTAAACAGGTGGATTCGGTTAAGTTCTGAACGCAAGATGAGTTTTGGTATTTAACGCTTTATTTTTTCAGTTTTTGACTTTACTTAACTGTTTAATTTTTGCATAAATTAAACATATAATATACATCAATTCGTGTCGAGTCTCATATAAGATTCAATTATTTAAACCAGATATTAAAAGAAATTGCCTTTAACGACAAATGCCATACTCACGCACAACTTTCGTTCCATTACATTCATAGCTCTCTTCAAACACTCGTTTTAGTTTAATTCCTATTAAATTTCTTGAAGCATGTGTTCGTACGTAAAATGGTACTAATTAATCTGTTGCCCCCATGGTTGCACTTTTGCCTTTCGTTTATCCCCACTCAGCCTTGCAGACATGGTCTCTACTCTACGGATAATTAATTATTGAAGAGCGTACGAATAAATACAATTAATTTAATTCAATAAACTTATTAGTTGACTTATTTAAGTACTGTGCAATATGTTTTTTTGCTTTCTCTCTCTGTGTTCTATGATATATAGCACTAATTTCTTTGTCATATAAATATCATCTTCACTCAATCTCTCCATCTTTTTTTCGGCATTTTTCTCTTTATTATGTCTTTCTCCCGTTGTAGACATTGCATTATAATATATTCTTCACCCTCTTTGAAACGTGCCTCTTATCACTTTTTTTGTCACTGGGGTGAGTATTTGATATTCAAACTTCCCTATATCTATTCCGTAGTGTCATTCAATTCCGCTTCAATTTAATAGGATTTTAAGAGTCGCAAATTATTCTCGTAACGTAACCTATTGTCATTTCATCGCCATCCTGAGCTATTTGAAGCTTGATATCTCGAAAATCCTAACTATTATATAACTTATTATTTTTTACAAATAATTACACAATATTTTTAAATTACTAATGTGAAAGATTG